AGCGGTCCGGCATGAGAGAAACAGAGCCATATGTTGCGCACGCGAAGAGGAATGCAGCAACTGGAGGAGGAGATCGACATGGCTGAGCAAAGTGCGCCCACGTGTCTCTCCGGTTTTCTCCATTTCTCTCTCTCTCTCTCTCTCTCTCTCTCTCTCTCTCTCTCTCTCTCTCTCTCTCTCTCTCTCTCTCTCTCTCTCTTTTTGACATCTCGCTTTTTGGATTTTTTCCTTTTGCTTTTCGCTGCAACACATCGAAGCCTCGGGATGGTCCCCCGTTGGAATTTCCACAATTTTTTATTTTTTTCTGTCTTTCTCTCATCTCGGTTTTTAGAATTTTTTCCTTTTGCTTTTCCCTGTGATGCATCAAGCCTTCTGGATGGTGCCACGTCTAAATTTGCACTTCTTTTAACTTTTGTTTTTCCCACTGCCATGCATGCAGTCCGTCCGATCATGATGACCGCGTTGATGATGGTGCCCGTCCGATCATGATGACCGCCTTTGAGGACTCGAGTACCGCTGTCATGTTGACGATAACGATGGTGATGATCATGATCATGAATAGAGCACGAAGAGGATTATGATGCGACACATTTTTTATTTGTATTTTTTTCGCTGCCATGAATGCAGCCCGTCCGATCATGATGACTGCGTTGGAGGACTCGAGAGTACCGCTGGCACGTTGGCGATGATGATGGTGATGATGATGATCGCGAATACAGAAAGCGGAGTAGGAGGAAACGAGGATTATGATGCAAGGCATTTTTTTATTTTTATTTTTTTCGCTGCCATGCATGCAGCCCGTCCGATCATGATGACCGCGTTGATGATGGTGCTCGTCCGATCATGATCACTGCCTTCGAGGACTCGAGTACCGGTGGCATGTTGACGATGATGATGGTGATGATGATGATCACGAATACAGCACGGGGCAGGAGGAGGAATCAAGGATTATGATGACGATGATGCCGGTGTTGCCGTTGATGATGGTAATAACGATGATGATGGTGAAGGGATGGATAATGACGGGAGGAGGCAGACAAGGGGAGGACGTACACATCAAGGGGGGGAGGGGGAAAGTGGATTGGCATGATGCTCCATCTCTGTCTCTCTCATACCTCTTTTATGA